GATAATAGTTTTAGAGAATTCAAACCGTGATCAGAAAAACATAAGGGTGAATATGGAGAAACTAAGTACTGACTTGGATCAAGACATAAGTGGAGCAGCAAAGGTAAATGTTTCAAATTATCTAGAAAGTAGGTTGGAAAGATTGAGAAAGACAAAAGTTGTGAGCCTTAATGCCTGAAGAATCTTTGACACTAGAGCCAAGCTATACATGAGCATTAAATTCACCAACAACAACAATATTGGCTGAAAAGATAAAGAGAAAAGGATCGATCAATTCGATCAGAAATTACTTCAGAAAAAAGTCCAGTCTTAAGATAAAGAAGATAGTGGTGTAGTGGTGGAACACTTGCGTCATAAGTGAGAGGTTCCAAGTTTGATCCCCACTATTTCTCTGGTAGTACCATGCTTAACTTGTTTCTGTACGCAGCAGCCTTGTTTGTCAAGGGTCGTGTTTAGGAGTTATAGAGTTGAGAGAAGGTTATAAACACAATTAAGTAGCCTCCTTGTCTGTAGTGACCTTTTCGGCCTTGGGTAGGTGAATTAACAATAAAAAAAAAAAAGTGATATAGAAAGGTAATAGAGTGAAATGATGCTAAAGGTAATAGAGTGAAATGATTCTAAACGAAAATACATAAAAGAACAGTCTGTGGAGTCAAACCTAGTTTTCTGAAAAATGGATGAATTCTTACAAATGTAAATGTCCAGGCCAAACATGTGACTATTGGAGTCTTTAACTAAAGGAAGATAAACATCAACACTAAGATCACAAGTTAAGAGAGTCGAACTTAAATTAGTCTCGCTAAGAGCAAGTCGGTCTGTTAAACTTTGCAAGACTCAACAGAAGAAAAGTTACTTTGAAGACCACAATTATTAGTGAATGAGTTAAAGAACTTGGTGAAAATGATGTTTTTTTTTTTTTTTTTATAGTTTTTGGTCCTTCATTCAATTTTTAAATTGGTTAAAGAACTTGACTCAAAGCGAAACTACTACTCAAAAAAATATTTAATAGTCCAAGCAAATGCCTCATTACTATTAATAAACCCTAAGCAATAGCATAGGGCTCCAAATGTGGCCTTGGCAATGCACATCAAAAGTATGAACAGGGACACCATTCATGCGCAACATGGCACTGTTAATACTCTCATATTTTACAGCTGTTGATGGAATGAGCCTCTCTGATAGCTGCCACAGAGTTCGGGAAACCTGGCAACCAGCCGACCTCAGAACCATAAAACTGAGTTTTAGAGCTGAATCCTCATTAAGAGATAATAGAATGAGTTGCCTAGTCAGACACAAGCAGAACCCATGCATTGAGTCAAAAAGATTCAGCATGTTAAGTCAGAGTTGGCTTCTCCTAGTCTTTGCCTAAAGAAAGTATATTCTACAAGGCAGCAGGACAAAAGGCAGTTTTTATTAGGTTACTTTTTACCAGAAGCAGGATAATCTGACCTGACAAAAAGCTATCATACAGATCTTTGAATCTTTGCTTTTACTTTGTCTTACGTTGTATTTTAATGTTTGTTTTAGCCCAACACTGCTGAGCATATAACAACTTTGCCTGCCACAGCACCATTACAACTGCTGTGCTTTTCGTACTTTATTAATCTTACAAAAAGAAGAACAAGCAAATAACATCTTTTGTGGGGACTCAGCAAGATGGTAATTCTAATATGAGCTTTCTTATCAGACAGGTATCATCATCCTTCCTCAGAGTCATAGCACATTTGGTATACACTAATCTATTTCTGTCATTAATTAAGTAGCAATCAAATACAAAGTACTATCTAGAAAGTTTAAATTTATAACACTTACGATTGAATAAATGCCAACAGGAAGTCAGCCAATTTGCCACTTGTTACTTATTAGTTACGGTAGCGCAATAACTTTTCCAATATTACCTTAATGCTGATGGCAAGGCTTACAGTATTTAAGTTTAACTAAAAATTTACTCATTTCATTTGCATGCATAAAAGAATGGAAAAAAGGGCATGGAGCAAGTTTTTTACTAACTATATTTTTTATCATTAACCTCCAGACCCTAATATATATATATATATATATATATATATATATATATATATATATATATATATATATATATATATATATATATATATATATATATATATATATATATATATATATATATATATATATATATATATATGTATATATATATATATATATATATATATTCATATATATATATATATATTCATATATACACAAATGTATGTGTGTATATATATGTATATATACATATATATATATATATATATATATATATATATATATATATATATATATATATATATATATATATATATATATATATATATATATAGATGTATATATATATTTATATATTTAAATATTTATTTATATATATAAGGAGCCCATCTGCAAAACGCAATAAGTCATAAAATAAAAGATTTTGTGTTAGTGCAATTTCCACATTCTATATACTAAAATCTATCATCCATTTAAATATTATACCAATTGAAAGTTTTTTTGCCCTAAAAATAGACGAAGAAAATTTCAGTTTCAGTTTATGCGCAACTAATAGTACTAGTTTTGCAAATGGCCTCTTTATATATATATATATATATATATATATATATATATATATATATATATATATATATATATATATATATATATATATATATATATATATATATATATATATATATATATATGTGTGTGTGTGTGTGTGTGTGTGTGTGTGTGTGTGTGTGTGTGTGTGTGTGTGTGTGTGTGTGTGTGTGTGTGTGTGTGTGTGTGTGTGTGTGTGGGCAATTCCATGGCGGAAAATGAAAAAGTAGTCAAATTTTATATTTTATTCTCTTTCTTGTCAACTTTTAGCTAATGAATATTGATGTAGACACATAAAAGTTTATTTAATATGTCTTTAATATTAAAATTTATTTATTTAAGTCATTTTTATGCCTCCGAAAGTTAGGGTTTTTCTCATTGTCGCATGGTAAAAAAGGTATCATTGTAATATGTTATTCTAATCATGAATTTATTTGCATAATCGGATGGAGCTAACATGTTAAAATTGTTGTTGGTCAAATTTTATACTTTATAAAATATATATATTTAAAAAAAATAATGAATGAACTTTTGCAATTTTCATGTAACATAAGTTATCAAAAATATGATAAAGTTTTATTTGTTGTAAAATTTAGTTAAAAAAAGTTTTTTGACAATATATGCGAAAGAATATTAAATGTTACATTTTTGCATTTAAAGTTTTATATAACGATGCTAGATTAAAGCACAATTTTATTTTAAATTTGTGTAACGTTACTTAAAACTACAAACATTTTCTCAAGCGCTTTTTCATTAACAAAATGAATTATGTCATTAAGTAATTATTATTTCGTTGAGAAGGTTTTAACTGTATAAGGAAAATTTAAAAAAAAAATTTTTTTTTCAATGTTAAATAAAATTATTTATATTATTGCTTTTTTGTTTGTTTATGTATTCTTATTTTATTTGACATAAATACACATAAATAAATAAAAATAAGAATTATATAAATAATTGTACTTAGACATTAAAAAAAAACAGATTTATTTGCTATTCTCCTAATACAAAAAAAAATCAGTTATAATTTTTGTTGTTGTTTTTGTTAAACAAATCGTTTGTAAATGCTATTAGGGGTCATTCATAAAGCATGTCACTTAATATTTGTCAATTTTTAACCCCTTCCCTCCTGTCACAAGCAATCACAAATCCTCTCCCTCCTAAAAAATACCAAAAATCTTTCTCCCTCCTAAACTGTGATAGCAGTTTTTTCTTCAAAAATATTTCAAAAGATTTAAATGTAAATATTTTGCAGCATTTTAAAAATTCAACCTAATGAAAATAAGGCAATACGCGTAAACGTATAGAGTGTAAGTAAAAACTTCGACAAACCAAAGATTTACTTATTTAAGCCACTCAAATAAGTATTAAAAAGTTGTAATACTAAAACAATTTTTCAAAGTTGCTCTTGGTCTTGTGGAAAAACTGTTTTCAATTTGACAACTTTAATAAATGTTATGAAAAATCACTCAGGAACAGTGCCACCAGTTTTTTAAAATTTCCTTTGTTAATTATTTTTAATGAATAAGTTTAATACCTTTGAAATTGCTTTGTTATGTAACTCTAACTTGAAATAATAAGAGTAAAAAATCCATGATAATAATTGCAAGATAACGTAAGTGATGTAACATAAGTTAGATATATAGTATAAAAAAAAAACAGTTTTTCCTTACCCGGTCACCTATGATAAAATTTTATATGTTTTTTAAATTGGCATAAAATTTTTAACATCTTGTGAAGGTTTCTAATATAAACTGCTTTACTGATTGGCAGAAATCTGACCTTAAAGTTGAAGCAGTGTTTTTAACTAGTTTTTCGTGCAATATAAGTTAAGTGGCATTTTCAGTAATAAGTACGCCCTCAGCCAGACTCAAAATTTTTTTGCTTATTTTATTCTTTAGACTACAGCTTTCATACAAAACAGCTAAAAGTTTAATATACAGTTTAAATAGGCAAATATTTGATCAAGTTGTTGCGCATGTAACGTAAGTTAAATATGGAATTGCCCATATGTATACATATATGTGTGTATATATATATATATATATATATATATATATATATATATATATATATATATATATATATATATATATATATATATATATATATATATATATATATATGTGTGTGTATATATATATATATATATATATATATATATATATATGTGTGTGTATATATATATATATATATATATATATATATATATATATATATATATATATATATATATATATATATATATATATATATACATATAAAAGTATTACAAAGAAGTTTTGATTCGTATTAAAAAAAACAACTGCATAAACAAAATGATTTGTCACATTTTTTTACTTAATTAGCAATAATATTTTTTTATGTCAATTATCTTTATTATATTAAACCTTTTTTTTTAAACAAAG